TTACAGGCCCGGCATATGTACTACAGCGTCTCCAGCGGGTCGAGCGGTCTCGTGTGAAGGGACACGTTTATTGAGCCGTATCCGTGTGAATGGAATACTTTTTTGATATCGAATTCGGTTTGTTTGCTTTCCCGCGTAAATGGGGCCTAAATGTTTAACATTGGGCCCTGGAAATTACTAGATTTGTGGACTATTTTCTGTGATTTCATAGCCTTGATGACACAAAGCCTAAGGAGGTAACAATTACCTCACTCCATTGAAAATACCTCTTGGTATCGGGGCGTTAATCTTTACATAATCCTTAGAAATTACAATCAAAAGCTCTTTTGTTTAAGCAGATTACTAAAGTACGAACAGCCACTTTGGCAGGACATTAACCACAAATGAGAAATGCTTAGGGACCTTCAGTTTAAAAAACTTCAGGGCAGAACAGTTAGAGAAAGTGTTCTAGATTGGATGGAATTAGTCACATTAAATTAGATTAAAATAAATGAGTTGTTTGATTGATCACTTAATCATTCAATGGAAATGTTTTGTTGGAGATTAGGTTTTTAAATGCGAGAATTTCGAAGTATTGGACAAAAAAGTAACTTTAAGACTTCAACCTGCACATTGGGAAGTTGCGATTGGCAATTTGAAAGTATTTGTTCCTGATCCTCATTTTACCAACAAGTAATCTGCCAGTAACACAAACTGGCTCCTAACTACGATTATTTCACGCTGACTCAAGGTCTTCTATAAGCTTCTAATCATTGGGTTCTGAGGTCAGTGTGATAGAGGTGAAAAAGATAAAGTATCTTCTACTGTATTAAGGACAGACTGACAGCGTCTGAGTGTCTTTCAGGGGTCAAAGTTCACAGCTGATTGGTAATCAGTAAAACATGTTAATCCTTCAGACGTACTTTCACTCGCTTGTGTGTCAGTTTCCCTTTAATCAGGCAAAAACAATGAGCTGCCAATCACCATTGTTTGGTTTATACATTCAAACGTTTATACATTAGTCCCGTTGATGTGGGTTAAAAAATGTTTGACTAAAAGATAAGCTAGCTGACTCCTAAAACAACAAAAAAGACAGCTGCTCTACCAACACTCTGTCTCTTCCTTATTCTACTTTGTAGACAAAAACATAGCTGATCGTTTTGTATTGGGCCCAGGCTTTAGATTGGTGCAGGAATGAGTCCTAAACCTAGAAATTAGTCAGCATTTAAGCACTTACAAGTTCCCTCTACTTGAAGTCAAGGGCTTTTTTTTGGTAAGATTACTTGAATAAGGTCTGTGGTTAATATAAGACAATGTTTTTTTTTTTTTATTATATATATATATATATATATATATATATATATATATATATATATATATATATATATATATATATATATATATTTTTGGTGGTCTAATGGATAGTGAGGTGGGCTGATTGCGAGTTCAAATCCCGCTTGGAACACCACTACTAGTGTGCCCTTGAGTAAGGCCCTCAGTTACTCCAGGGAGAATGTCCCTGTAATTGGTCATCGTAAGTCGCTTTGGAATAAGGCGTCTGCTAAATGCCTAAATTGTAAATTATATTTTTGGGAGAATAAACCCCACAGATCCTCAACTCCGGTGTGTCTCACTCATTAACAACGCAACACAGAGCAACAAGAATGTTCTCTGCTACAGTAGCCATGAACTCGCATGTATTTTGTTATTTGAGGGGGGGGGGTGGATGCGTGGGCCACCCAAATAGGTTAAGGTAGGGCTGTGCAATTAATCGTATTTTAATCGCAATTACGATTTTGGCCTGCCACAATTACGAAAACAACATAATCGAAAAAAACGATTATTTTGCTTTGCTAGGTTGTGACAGTGCACTGCAACATATTTGATCAAATGTATTTGTATTTATCATATTTATATATGTTTAGTAGCTTGTTGAAGTGCGCTCCAAAATATTTGTTGATCTTGTTTATTGGTATTTATTATTTTTATATTATTTATGTATCATTTATTTTTGTATTGGTTTTTCAGTTGAATTATACATTCAGGGAAATCAACAGTTAAAGAGATACTGTTCAAATTATTATTTGTATTTAAAAGTTCAATAAATGGATGTTTTCAAAGTCAATGAATAATCGTATTTAATAATCGTGATATCAATTATTGACCAAAATAATCGTGATTATGATTTTTGCCATAATCGCACAGCCCTAGGTTAAGGGGCCTTTGGCTTTTCTTGCCGGGGGGGAGGGGGGGGTGCGGTGCCCCCACAAATACAATCAAATTATGTGGGAAACACTGTAAGCAGAAGAGATTTAAATGTTTTGTTCTACGACATAAAAAAACAGCGATTGCTAACAAGTGTCTAAATGAGTCAACTAAACGTCATCAATCCCATCATTAGCCACCTTTAGCTTAGCGGTGGTGTTGTGAAGTCATGCGACCGTGCTGTAGTTCCTTTATAGCATAACGTTAGCTTTTTACTTCAGAAATCATAAAGTGGTGTTAATATTTGGAGATTATCCTGCTGAACAAAACGTGTAAGCATCATAAACGTTTTTTTTTTACACAGAGCTTATATTCTGCAATTTTATCGAAAACCAATGGAAAAAACAAAGACTAAACGTCATCACGCCGAACATTATCCGCCTTAAGGTAAGCGGTGGTGATGTGTCATGTGACCGTGATGTAGTTTGTTTAAAGCCAAGTTTAGCATTTTACTTCTGGAGATTGCATTTACACTTCAACAATTACAAAGTGGTGTTAATATGTGGAGATTATCCTTCTGAGCAAAACATATCATTATCAGAAACATATATTCAAAAACCCAATGGAAAATCCCATTGTGTTTTAATGGAGGGAGCCCTTGTGTTATGGTCAGCCTACAAAAACACATCATCACTGCACCACTCTATTGCTGAGTTCTGTGTTTCTCAAGGTCTGTGTGATAATGGATGTGTTGATGGGATGCTTTGTGGCTGGGTTTGAGTCCCGCTGGCAGCCTGCCATCCACTCAGCCTCCCACAGTTTTTCCAGCATCATCAGCCATAAACTAAAATATGATGGCAGACTGGGAACCTCTTTATTACCGAGGCACTGTCTAAATCTCTCAAGTCACTGAAAGGCTCTGGTATGAAATGCTTCATAATTACATTTAAAAAATAGACCACATAAAATATGATGGTATAGATCAAGTGTGGGTTGCTGGTAATATTGATGTTCAACTACACATTTTGTTGACATCATTGTTGACACTATTAAATGAATATGGACCAACACCAGCAATACAAAAAAGGAAAACTCACAAGACTAACTGGGAAAGTAAGGTCACTTTAAAATGCTCCAATTCACTCAGCAGGAATGCTTTTAAAAAAGGTGCCACTATTACAAATAACAGATAATGGTACCAAGGTCAACATAATACTTGCATATAAATAAACTTGTTTTTAGAGTAGTAATAACAAAATCCATATACTTAATAGCGGCTTTATTATGTTGATTAAACTGTTCTATTAAATTAGCTAAAATGTGGTTTTGTAAAGGTAAACTACAATACAATATTAGGTTTCTATCATGCATGCAGAGATAGGTCGAGCACACAACCAATCAAAATGAAAACAATTTGTCCTGAATTCTGTGTTATCGTCTGGCCTTCACTAGAAAAAGGAAGATCAGAGATATGTCAGGTCAATTTGACTTTATCACCCTACAGAATAACACCATTTGAAAACCCCTTAAGTGTGATGCGTATTTAACAAGGCTTGAAAATCATAAATGGAACCATTACTGAACTAAAGTCTTCTATCTATTGCCCTGCTCTAAAAAAAAAAGGCTTTGGGAAAAGCATTGTACTCTCAGCCAACACGGGCCGAAAGAGATAATTTGCAAAGTAAGCTCTGACAAGCAAATGTTACTGGCTCACTGTGACTCCTCTCCATTCCTTCTTGCACTTTGGGAACCAACATTTTTTGCAGGATAAGCTTGCACATGTTGAGACGGAGAATGGCAGCTATGTTGTAGCCGTGAAGCAAGTCGACCTCCTATTCCTTCACACAGCTTTCTAAATGTGTCACAGGGAACTACGCCAAGGGGGAAGAACACGGAAAGTGAAAATTAAGAACAGGTTTGATGGCTCTCCTGCTTTTACCAGTGCCAGCGTCGGGCACCCTGTCGGCTCAGAGGCCATGTGTTAATTATTCATTGAAGACTCCCAACACTTTCGGGTGCCTCTGACGATGGAAATGCTCAAAAACGGATTAGTTCATAGAACTGATGGGGAGCTTGTGTGCAAAATGGGTGACCTTTCCGGAGGCTATTAATGAGACCATCATTAAGGAGCAACCACATTTGATTTGTCCTGTAGATTCAAATGAAATCAGAGATGAATGAATACATTGATCCCTGATTGCAAACATATTGGTCTTTGTAGGTTAAACACCAGGAAATATTATCCAAAGACAAGAAATGAAGTTGGTAATTTATGGTTTCACATTGCTGGCCATTCGGGAGTAGCCAACTGCCAACAACTGTTAATTATTCTCTATTTGTTGCAAGCTTAACTCCCCCAAAAACTGCTTTTTCACCAATAAAATTTTTGCAGCTGAGTGTTACTCAACAACAAGTCTCATAAGTTGAAATAAGTTCAGCTAAATCGTCCAGTTTCAACACATCACACGCAAGAGTTTTGAAAGGCTAACCACAGACCCAAACAAGGAAATGACAAGGTACTTGTCTCGTCCTTTGATTTCTTGAAATGTGGAAACATACTCAAGAAATCTGTTTTTCTCAAACTAAGAAAGTAGGATAGTGCTATCCAAGGTTTTCCCTAAGAGAAAAATACATGTATATTTAATTTGAGTGAAGACTAACTAGTTTCATTTTGGTTGTGGCAGGTTATCCCTATCAGCCAGTTTTGCAGGCGAACACTCAATGTTGACATCCTAAACGTCGTCATGCAGGGTGAAGAAGAACGCCCAAGGGAGGGGTGAAGCCTGAAACTCCTGTAACAACACTGGAAGACTTACCCATGGTGGTAGATCTGAAGTAGGCACACTCTGCTTCAATACTTTATCCTCATGGTCCAGGTATGCTAAGGCTCGGTTTATCCTGTAGTCCTTAGTGCCGTGGTTTTTCCTCCAATAGAACAACATGGCGAGTCCAATCAGAACCCAACTAAAGCTGAACTCAAAGTATCCCATGACGTAGATGGGGAAGATGATAGCGAAAGTCTTGACGAATGTAATCCACATTTGGGTGACATCAGTCAGAGAAGACTGAGGCCCATCGTCCAGGTCATCTGGGGACAGTGGCGGACCGATTTTGGAGCTTGTTGGGCTGCTGGGCGCTGCAATGGGTCCGTTCGCCTTGGCTCCTGGGGCCGAAGAACCCTCCATCCTGTTAGTCATTTCACCACTGGAACGACATTTTAAAAACAGGAAAAGTTATACAGTCTGCTAAACACCTGAGCTCTGCTAAGTGCCCCGATAAACATTCCTGTTTTTCATGCAATATACTTATCTATATAAATAGTTATCCACGCAATAAACCGTATTTAATTTTGCCTTAATTTACATTATTTTATTTCATATTCTGTTCTTGTACATATCATATTCTATTTACATGTATATAGACTTTTTGCACTACTTTTTATTTCGTATTTTAGTATTTTATTATATATGTTGCATTGTTGGAGGAGCTCAGGTCAGAATAATTTCATTGCCATTTCTACACTATAGCTTTGTGCATATGACAATAAAACCTTTGAATCTTGTAACAAACCTACAAAGTCGAAGCATCATTTGTAGACATTTATTGTTATGCATTCTTTTTTTATTGTATACCTCTTAATTATGTGTCCATATATCTGTATATATTAGATTGGGTGTTCAGGTGTGTATGTATGTGTATTGATTCTTATTATTTGGGACAGTAACAAACGCAATTGGATTTCTCTGTCTGTAGCACACACAGAGAAATTGACAATAAAGTTTTCTTTGACTTTTGGTCAGGATGCACAATATCTATCTCCAAAGGTCAGAAAATGACGACACAGTCATGCTGTAGTTATACCCTAAGGAATAAAACAACATTAAGCATGACAGAATAAAACAAGCCAACTGTTGAGGCTCATAAATGTACCATTGAGATTATGTGTTTTACTAACTGGTTATTTGATTAGTGCCAACACTGATGAGAAGTGTATGGACAGCACACCAGGGGGTGAATGTATAACATATTTCACTTCCTGTGAACCAAAGATGTTATAGGTTCCAAAAATACAATTTAACAGTATTTAAATGATTGGTATATTAAAAAGGCTACAATAGATATCGGGCCTAACCCAGATTGAGGCTCCATGTTACAGTAACTCCCCTTCAACAAGTAGCCTATGCAGTAAAAAGTTGACTACACAACACCCACATTAGAGCCGAATATTACCTAACGGCATTAAAATAATACTCTTTTAGTCTCCAAAACATTTCCAAATGGCATATTTATACATGTTATTCCACTGTCTACCTTCTTGTCTGGGAGGACGTCATACGAAACTCCATTGCAATATTAGCACATTTGTGTTACCTGTGGAAAATGTCAGCAGTAGCTACTTCAAAAGTGAGAACGTAATATATCATTCGTAATGTTACACAATCGTTTTTAATTCGGCATTAACGTAATACACCTACACAATTTCTTTTCTGTAAGATTTTGACTTTTAAAAGTGCTTCAACCGCTGCCTCCGCAATCTTCTGCCATCAAAACACACTGCAACGTAAAGTGTACATTTGTTAACTAAAGTACATTTTTTACTGAAAGATATTGTGTTTCGCTAGATTAAATATATGCCGAATACAAGATCACATTCTACTTAATCTAAATTGTGTATACGTTTTTGCCTACAGTGCGTAGAATTACAAATAAAGCAATTGATCTCTTTATTCCCCATTCTTTTGAAGGGAGTCTTTCGTGACGTTCTCTCCGCAAAGTGACACGTATCGGAGCTGCGTAAACCAAACACTAGCCGGAAAAAAACTACTTATTTATCAAACAACACACTCACCAGTATCGACATTCGTCCTTCCCTTTAAAAAATAAAGTAAAAAATCACTCCTCCTCTCAAGTCCACAGCATGCCGAGCAGCTTTAACTCAGATAACCCCGTCTTCCCCTTCAGCACATCTCGCTGTGAGGCGGACAGCCTGCAGGAAACTGTCATCGTGGGAAGAAGGTCAGCCTCAGACAGGGAGGGAGCTTCAAAACACAAACATAACGGCGGACCTGGGCGCCATCTTGTGGAGAGAAAATGGTGCTTCTTCTCCAACTGTCAAAGTTTCACAAATACGATATTTGAGCAGTCTTCGTAGTTGTAATGTCAATGTAGTCCACATTTGACGATATGTTGTTATACCTAGACCTAGATATATTCTTAAAATCTCTCCCAAAACGCATCCAAGACCAAACTGTCCATATTCAAATAACAAATCCAAACTCTCCTTGTTTCAAAACATTTTATTTTTTAAATAGCCTAAATATAGTTAATATTAAGTCCAACAAGTGGTTTTATTGTAGGCCTAATAGTAGGATGTCCATAGTTTTTTTATTTTTGTTGGTTTTCTTTTGGATCCGAACATCCGAACACACAAAGTTGTCTCAATGGTCTAACATTTTTATATTTTAACAAAGATAATAGGCCTACAAGGTCCCACAAATTGTAAACTGCATTTAAGGGGTCAGGTATCAGTAAATGTGTTAATTTAGCTATATTTCGGGGTAATTGATCCTCTACTGCTTGTTCAGTTGCCTTGTTCCCACTCCCTATACAAATCATTAATTGTAGGACAATACCAATAATACAATTATTGGTAGGCCTATTGTCTTAAAAGTAGTCAAATTTAAATATATGAAATCTAAATTAAATGCTACAGGAATCAGCCCGTGCGATAGGCTACTACTAACCACGTAGGCCTACAGTCTTATTTAAACATGATGTTTCCCTGATTGATCTTTCTATATACTTATTTTTATATCTCAGATATGCAAAACTGTTATTTGTGGTGTGGTCAAAATATACAACTAGTGAGGCTTCAACTATTTTCCCATCACACTTTACCAATCCCCTTACACATGCCATCAGGGATACTAGCCTTTGACCTTTGACCATTTCATCCTATCTGTTGCCTGTAATGTGGGAGCTTACACTACTATTGACCTCATTAGTTTACAGTATAAATTAGACAGCCTACTCTAATTTTCTATGTAAAATTAAAAGATACCATCTTGAAGTGGACTGTAAATGAGGAGTTTTTGAGCAGAGTTTGCACAGAGCGTGATTACCCACTAGATGTCATGGTAGTGTTTGTATAGAGTATAAATCCACATCAAGACTATAAAATACATTCTGGAGAAAAGGGGGGAGTCTGCAGAGACAGTTGAGTTGATATATTGTTTATTGAAAGAGACATTTGCATACCTTATTCATGTTGGAGTGCCGTTAAGGAGTATTCTAGGCACTACACAAATAATCATTCAGTTACATGGATGAATTATCATAATTAATTAACTGGAAAGTAAATCTCCACATAGTATATTGTAAGAAACTCAACTCAACAAAAAGGATAATTAGTTACCAATTAAATTTTCTTTTCCAACTCGAAACTGAAATGTGAGCAATATTTAAAATAATAAAAACTTTTATTTTTATCTCGCAGTTGTTAAGCTGTTCACAGTGTATTTTTCCAGGAGGTGAATACATTCAAATCAGAGCAAAACAATCATTTAGAAAGAAAAAAAAACCATGACAAGCAACAGAAAACCTTATAAGGGAAATGACTGGAACCAACAACGCCCTTCCTCTTTACAGAGCTCCCCAGAAACCACTTCAAAACTAACAAAACATGTATTTATGTCCAATCAGTGTTAATGCATGTGGGTAACGAGACAGAGGGAAAAAAATGTTGTGTACTCCGATGCTTTAGCAAACCATTTTCTTGAAATGTTTACCAATACAGCCACTTTGAATTTAATTTAAATTCATTCGAAAATTTGAGGAAAAGTAGATTTCCTTAAAGTTTATTTGAGTTATATATTGTATTGCAATGTGTACAATTGTAAACGTCTTATGTAAATATAAATATATTTATAAAATAAACGTATCTTTCACTTTTTATTTTTATATAATATGTAAAATATTTGTTATGTTTTATCTTTTTTTTTTGCACCTTTTAAAAAAAAAATATATATTTATTTGATTTATTTTTTCTTGAATGAAGCAACTTTCGCAAACCCAATTTTCCCCTGGAATAAAAAATGTGCCAAAAATAAATCATAAATATAAAAAATACAAAATAAATAAGTTGAGAAACGTAATGATAAATTGCCCTTATCTGGCTCAGGGTTTACTATGTTAACGTATTTTTTTAACACGTCACGCTGTTTAAATCCGGGTTTATACACAAGTCATAAAGTACTGGGACTGCTTTATGTTTTCTGTCTGCTCATATTAATGTCTTGTTGATACTTTCGCCCACAGCTGGTAGCTGCCAGGACAGAAACCATGTACTGAGATATGTGCATTTATAAAAAGAGAGGGGAGCATGTATTAATGTCCTGAGAGTTCCTACTGAATCATAAAGTTTCCACTCTCTCTGGCTCTTAAGTGACTTCAGCTGATAAACTGTGTGTTTCCCCAATGAACTTTACTAGATTTCAAAGAAAGACTTTCATAATCTAGTTGTAAATCTGAAAGACTCATTGAAGTGGATACATATTTCTTTTAGAGCGCCCTTTCTCACATCCGCGCAGTACAACAGTCATAGCTAGTTTCAGAATGACGCATTTGTCCTTTTAACGCTAAGTGCCAACATTGTGTAAGTATCATACTGTATTGTGCCCATGTATGTGCACATGGTAGTGTTGATGTTAAAATGAGATATGTTCAGGCAGTCAAAAAGACTGCCTGAACATATCTCATTTTAACATATTGCTAGCTTGAGCACCAGTAACCAAAAAAAACCTGGTCTAAAGCCAAGGGCGCCATATTTTCCTGCTATTTGAAGGGAACATTAACCAGATTAGGATGGGTTTATAATGCACATACACTCTTGCTACCAAAAAGTCTGCTTTAATCCATATTTGTTAGCATTTAGCCTTTGCACTTAACACTTTTTATGCTGCAAATGTCAAATGTGGAATACAAATAACGCAATTTAGGAACCACAAAAGCATAATGACAGAGGGAAAACATGAAATGATATGAATATATCAATATTTTCCTCCACCATATTATGAAATGAAAAAGCAAACTCATTACGACAAAAAATACGATATATTTGTTTATTATAAACCAATAAATGTACTTCCATGGCTTCCACATGAACTCTTTTGACACAACATTAAGGGGGCTTTAATATGAACTCCATTTAACATCACACACAATTCCATTTGCTTAATATGCAAACTAGAAACTATTTACACAAATTCATAAACGTCCAACAATGGTTTTATCCTCTTTTAAAGAAAGAAAAGAATAGGCACAATAGCTGCGCATCACACAATTTTTTCTTCAAATGTCTAACCGAAAAGTGAAATAATTTCAAATGTATTTAGAGTTAGGGTTATGGGTTACTCAAGGTAACAGGGTTGTTGTGGGGTGAGTGAGTGTTTGGATCCAGACTTCACAGTTGGATTTAGACAAACAAACCCCGGCTCCCTGTTATTCCCCCCCCCCCCTCTCAGTGTATTGTGGGAAAACATCTAACACAGGGCTTCTGTTTGGCTCTGATAGTCCGCACAGAAATGATTTGGCGGGGATGAAAAGAGTACTGGATCGCTGCCGTCTGTAGTCTTTTGGTAATAAAGAAGTGGATAAACTGTGAACTGCAGGTGGTAAGCATCATGGGCCAATTAAAGAGGCCACATTCTGCTCATTTTCAGGTTCATATTTGTATTTAGTGCCTCTTCTGGGACATGTCTCCATGCTTTCATGTTCAAAAAGAGAAAGAAAATTCCATCTGGAGGGAACAAAGGGATCCTTTGCAGACCATTTACATGCACAGAAATCCATATGACACACTATAAAGGGATAATCCCACAAAGCATAATAGGGCCTATTTAACAGCTATTGTAACCATGAAGAATGTCTTTTGTAAGATAAAAGAACAAGGCATATTAATGATTAGGTAATGTTCAAAGCATTGAATGAAATATGTAAATGTGAAGACATTTTATTAATTGTATAGTGATATTTTTAATAGTAGAAGTAAAGTTAAAAAAAAGTACAATATTACAGTAGAAAGTACAATATTTGCTTCCAAAATGTAGTATGGAAACAATATATAAAAATCGTACTTAAGTTTTATTAGGCTACTTGACTTAATATAGTCTACTTGCCCAAATAAAAAAGCCAAATAAGAAAAAAAAAAATACCATCTCTTCTCTATTCGTGCAGGATGTAGGCTTACAAGATACATGTAATTATTTCAGGGACAAAAAGAATAACAAACAAATAGCAACTATAAGTATTTTCCAAATATCTGTCGTTGTATCATGACAATCAAAATTCCATCGTAAACGAGAACAAATATGGTGGGGGGGGAATTCCGGAAGTGAAGGTAAATTAAGGTTTTATTTTGAAATACAGCACCGGAAGTCTCTGTGCTCATCGTTGGAGACTTGTCTGCAGGTCACTGATCTCTCTCTGCACGTTAACTCAGTGGAGGGAAACAGTGGGGATACACACCATCACTGGATTCTCATGCATTTTCATCCGTTTTTTCTGCACTTTCATGGAATTAAAACAGTATTCAGACCCTGTTGTCGGGATGGAGAAGTCTAAAGTGGATTTTAAATGAAGTCCGAACTCCTGGTTTTATTTATTACCTGCGTGAGGACCTGTGAGAGGATTCAACCTGAGGAGGAAACATGAAAAGTTTGCTTTTTCTCACCTTGTGTTTCTCCACCTTTCTGCTCATGGTGAGTCTTTTATCTACTTACTTACAGGGATGTTTTAATGCAAACGATTTCATATCAAACACAAATTATGCTGACTATTAATTTGTGGTTTCTAGCATTAAAATGTAAATCACAAATACTAATTTCAATTGCACACCTGGATGACAAAAATGAAAGATACATGTCGAGATTTGACATTGTTATTGTCATTACTAATGGTGAAATATCACATTTATATTGCTCATAACATTATATTATTACCTTATATGGACATGTGTG